GGGGGGGGGGGGGGGTATGTGGGTGTGTGTATGTGTTTGTGTGTGTGTGCGTGTGTGTGTGTGTGTGTGTGTGTGTGTGTATGTGTGTGTGTGGGTGTGTATATGTATGTGTGCGCGCGCGCGCGCGCGTGTGTGTGTGTGTGTGTGTGTGTGTGTGTGTGTGGGTGGGTGGGAGTGTGTGTGTGTGTCGGCGTAGATGTAGAAGGCCCTGAATTACCTGTCTGTCTCTGTCTCTGTCTCTCTCTCTCGTGTTGGTACGGTCAACCTGACTAAGGTATAGCAGTGTTTCAAGTCGCGCTGTGAAGGGACGTACAAGATTCTTTTGTTTGACGCCTTGACCAGGGTAAGCAGAACCAACATGTTTTTCAACAGTGACGTATATTTTTTAAAGTTTAGTTTTAGTAGAGGTTTTACGGCGCTCGCAACTGCATAATAAGGTCATATGAGCGCCAGAAGATGCGAGGTGTTACAAGAGAGCAACAAACATAAAAAAGAAGAAGGGGAGAAAAGGACGATAGATGTTTGATAGGAAAGAAGAAGCAAACCACACCAGAGCACCCGCCAACCATCCACAACGTATATTTTTGTTGCTTTCAGCGTTAACTTCGTCTGTCAGCTGTTCGCGTGGACTAAGAACAGAGGTTCCTCTACATTGCAGTTTCTTAATCTGTGGTGACAGTTGCATGTGCTTCAGAAATATTTTGTCAATATTCACATTCTAACAGTTGAGAAAAAAAAAGAAAGAAAAAAATGTTTTTTAAATGTAGCCTTTGCCCATTTATAACCTGTGATTAACGTCATCTGACTAGTAGAAAAAGTGCGTAGGATAGTGTCCAATAATGTATTACATGAATGCTTAGTATGACAAACAACTGTTACAGATAGAAATTCAAGGATTATAGATGAAAGTCTTTGATCTGAGAGCAATGATGAATTTAGAAATATTAGTGGTGATGAGTGGGATTGATGACATCTGGTTTAGTGCAAAAGCTCATGTTCATCCTACGGGGTATTATGTAACTTAAAAGACGCTGTCTATTGAGCACCCCGCTCTCTATTGTCTCTAAAAGCCACTTCATACTGAATATGTACAGTGTATGTAGCTTTAAACACTCATAGTTTAGCAGGTCCTTTTTGGGGGGCACCGTTGATTATTTCGAACAAAGAGTTAAAAAATGTGTCGAGTCCAAAGGAGAGCATGAAGAGCGTTGCTTCTAGGAATTCCAGAATGAAATCGTTAGGTTTTTTTTAAATTTGTAAAAGAAATTAAATATTGTTTAAATGTTACAAGGAAGGTCAATTAAATGTCA